GATGAGTGCCTCGTTTCCAAGGTCTGTGAGTGCCAAGGACTGGGTCTTCTTGCACCCTTCTTTACCTACTGTAAGTGAATGCAATGCCTTCTTTTTTTTTTTTTTTTTTGCTGAGAAAGATTCACCCTGAGCTAACATCTGTACCAATATTCCTCTACTTTGTATGTGGGACACCGCCACAACACAGCTGGTGAGTGGAGTAAGTCTGCGCCCAGGATCTGAACCCGCAAACCTGGGCCACCAAAGTGGAGCATGGAACTCTGGGCCTTGCAATGCCTTTTTTCTTCTTTTTTTTTTTTGTGAGGAAGATCAGCCCTGAGCTAACATCCACGCCAATGCTCCTCTTTTTGTTGAGGAAGACTGGCCCTGAGCTAACATCCATGCCCATCTTCCTCCACTTTATGTAGGACACCACCACAGCATGGCCTGACATGTGGTGCATCAGTGTGCGCCTGGGATCTGAACCTGGGCCGCCAGCAGCGGAGCACACGCACTTAACCAGTATGCCACCGGGTCGGCGCCTGCAATGCCTTCTTGAGCCCAGTGTGACCTAATTCCAGAAACAGGGCTGATCATCCTCACAAAAGAAAAACAAATAATCTTGCTTTCTCGATTTACTAACCGTGTGACCTTGAACAAGTCACTTAACCTCTCTAAGTCTCAATTTCTATATCAGATAATAGTGTCTAACTCATAAGGGTGTTTATCATGGTACCCAGTAAACTTTTAACAATCAAGATAATAGTGCCTAACTCATAAGAGTGTTTATCATGGTACCCAGTAAACTTTATTTATTTTTTTTTTTTGTGAGGAAGATTGGCCCTGAGCTAACATTTGCCAATCCTCCTCTTTTTGCTGAGGAAGACTGGCCCTGGGCTAACATCCATGCCCATCTTCCTCCACTTTATATGAGACACCGCCACAGCATGGCTTGACAAGTGGTCCGTCGGTGCGCACCCGGGATCCGAACCTGCGAACCCCGGGCCGCCACAGCAGAGTGCGTGCACTTAACAGCCTGCGCCACCGGGCCGGCCCAAGTACCCAGTAAACTTTTAACAATCAATTAATAAACAATTGGATGGGCCAATCATGTGATATTATTCCCATTTTATAATGGGAAACTGAGGTGTGATTGAACAAATTGCCCAGCCAGTAAATTCTGGTAGTTCTTGAACCCAGTTCATCTGACACCAGAGCCAATTCTCCACCACAACATTGTGCATATGAATGTGTCATGTATTCATTCAATAATTATTTATTGAGCATCTAAAATTGCCAGTTACTGTGCTTGGTGCTAGGGAATTCTAAAATAATCCCAATATGGCTGATCATCTTTGGGCAGCCCTGAAATTACAACTACCTGGAGGCCAGTCACAGCACTTTGTTTCATTCAGCATTGACTGGTAATGAATTTTGAAGATTTTACTGAAGTTTTTATGGAGAATAGAGATGAACATTGTATCACATTAGACTGTAAACTCTTCGAAGGCAGGGATCATGTTTTGCCTATCAATGTACAACCAGCACTTAGTACAGTGCCTGGCACATACTCATTGAATATTTGATGAATGAACAATATGTCATACAGTAAAATTTCATCCTTCTTCCTCAACAACTTCTCACCTGCCCCCCTAATGCCTTCCTCAGCAGCTGCTCAAAATTGTCGATGAAACAGTGTTGAATTGAACTGTGAAGAATTCTGCCTCTCATGAACTTGATGGTATTCTCCCAGGTGTTTCTGGCTTTCAGATACAAGTAGTTTTCATTTGAAACCGCATCTAGGGCCGGCCCCGTGGCTTAGCGGTTAAGTGCGCGCACTCCACTGCTGGCGGCCCTGGGTTCTGATCCCAGGCACGCACTGATGCACTGCTTCTCTGGCCATGCTGAGGCGGCGCCCCACATACAGCAACTAGAAGGATGTGTAACTATGACATACAACTATCTACTGGGGCTTGGGGTGGGGGGGAGGTCTAATATTCTTTGGGTTACAAAAAGTATGTAAGTCAAAATATTGAGTCAGGGAGCCAATAGTGAGTAAACAATAACAACAACAAAATGTATTCATGGAAAGATAAAGAATGATCTAAGACAATACATACTGAGTGCCCAATGAAGAGAACTGACAACAAACACGTTTGGAGTTGAGAGCAATGAGAAAGAAAACAGGAGGGTGGTAATGTATCAACTTGACTGAAGAGAATCTATTCTAGGTCTCTTTATTGACAAACTATGAGGTATTATGAGTTGGTTTTATTATTATATCTCAGAGAGACTTCTCTCTCTGAGATATAATAGCTTAAGTCAACAGCTTAATGGTATGGAGCTGTCTTCATGGGCCCAGGGTCTGACATGTCCCAGGACCAGCACACCTGCAGTTTCTGTGTGGAATGAGGCGGTGGGGTGCAGGTCCAAGGGCTCAGATTTCCTCATTCCTAACTCCTCAGGCACTCAGCTTTGGGGACTAACTCCAGCTGAGAAGAGGACAGACCTTCACCTGTCCACCCTAATACCTCACTCTCAGGCTGAAAGAAAAGGTATCCACTTTAAGTAACTCCTTTTTGACCAAAATGTCACAATTCCTACTTCCTTTACCTTATAACCTCACCCTCAGCCCCTATCTCCAAAATAAAAATAAATACCTCCTAGAATTTCACAATGTTTCATTTTCAAGATAACTACCTCTTTTCTGATCTAAGCCAACCTTGGGGATGGAGAATATTCCCTTAGATTTAGGCTTCTTTTTTTTTTTTAAGTGCACAAGTGTTCCTTTAGAGTATCACTGTAGGACTAGGAAAATGGGATATTTTTGTAAGAAAAATCAACTTTGTGGCTGACAGCTTGACTTAACACAAGGTAGTCCTATTTGAGACAATATGTTAAACGCTTCAAGAGAAAGGAAAATGAAATCAAGAAGTGTACATCTTAGAGAAACATCACGGCGTGTTTCATTTTCTACCAAGCCGAGCTACAAGACCTCCCCTAGCGACACTTGGCTTTGGCGGTTCAAATGCATTTATTTCTTTCTGTGACAACATGAGCTTGGCAGAACATTGAGACCTGGCAGCTGAGAAAAGAAAATGCAGTCTTCCTGCTCACAGAAGAGATTCTAAGATATCCTTGCTAACACAGCACTGCCAAAAGGGCTTGTGTATGAATCAGCCATAAATGTTTAGTGGGCTGATGAGAGTTGCAGAGCTTATGAGAATTTCTGATGAAGCAGCACACAAGAGTGCCTATCCATTATTGTAGGAGTGTGGTGCAGTCTGTAATTTGACTTGTTGGGGTCTTTTTGTTATTATAGGCTGTGCTTCACTGAAGCCTGTTGCAAGCTCCCTTTTTCCTTTGCTATCAGAATTCGTGAATGAGAATTGAGGCTTTGTGACAAGAATGCTAAATATTCCTTCAAACTACACAGACAGAAAGGGTTGCGAGACAGCTATTATGTTTCATTAGCATCTGATTCCAGGAACATGATCCCAATTCTACTAATTTCCTAATCACAGATGCATTTCAGCGCTCACCACAGTCTAGTTGGATCCCCTCTGAAGTACTTAGAAACCAAACCAAAATCAGCAGCAAGCAAAGACAAGATGAGTATGCAGATGGTCGAGTAAAACATGTCTTCAGGCTTCCAGCATCCTCCCCCTTCCTAGGCCCAGCACTGTCTAGAGTTGCCAGATTTAGCAAAGAAATACACAGGCTCCCGTATTTTATCTGACAATCCTATTAAGTCCCTTAGTAGCTCTAGCTTAGTCTCTACCATCAGAGCCTATTTCAAGGGAAAATATCTGAGATTAGTTATCAAAACTTAGAGCAATATTTCTCAAAGTCTGCTCCTAGATAATCTACATTAGAATAACACAGGGAACCTGTGAAAAATGCAGATTCCTAAGTCTCACCCTAGACTCACATAATCAGAAATTCCAGGCATGGGCCTGGGAATATGCATTTAAAATCTCTTCAGATAATTCTGAGGCACACTGAAGTCTCAACGACCTCAGTGTCTTTCTTCTCCTAACAGTACATACTTAAAGCCTTTTTCTGTTTGTGAAAGGAGATAATAAAAGCACAGTATCTGGCACTTATGAGGACCGTAATAAATATTTGTTCCTTTAATCCCTTCTTTTTTTCGTGAGATCATCCCTGTGCTAACATCCGCAGGGGTAGATACCCAAGGCCATTTCCCAGTCCCCTGAAGAAATGAAAAGTCAGAGGCTGTCTCTGATCACCTCCATATAACTAGGCCCTAATCCGTCTACACCTGACCTCGTCTAGGCTGCTACTCCAGCCTGCAGTCGAGACCCTCTGGGCAGTGGTTCCAGCAGAAACATGTGCAGAGCTTCACTGTATGGGACGAACAGGATGGATCTTCAGTCAGTGTGCAGAGAAGCCTACAATTATTTACTCCTTCTCGAAACTACCTCTGTACTTCTTTCTCCTCTGGATCAAAAAGTTAACTTAAAACCAGAATCTCTCCCCAAGATCTGTTTCACCATCTCTAATTCTGCTCTCTGCATTTTCTGACATTTTATTCGAAAGTCAGCCACCTTGGGGCTGGCCCGTGGCGCCAGCTGTTAAGTGCCCACGCTCTGCTGCAGAGGCCAGGGGTTCGCAGATTCGGATCCCCGCGAACACACCGACGCACCGCTTGTTAAGCCAGGCTGTGGCCGCTCCCCATATAAAGTAGGGGAAGATGGGCATGGATGTTAGCCCAGGGCCAGTCTTTCTCAGCAAAAAAAGGGGAGGATTGGCAGATGTTAGCTCAGGGCCGATCTTCCTCACACACACACAAAAAAGTCAGCCACCAATATTAATGAACAGCTCACCAATATTAATGAACAGCTCATTGCATGTTGAGAACCACGTGCCAGAGAAGGCAGTTGAACCCTTCAGATTCAGGATTTAGGTTTAGAAAGACTACAGGCCCCAAAATGCAATTTCACTTTCCAAAGACTACCGTACCCAACATGCAATGCAGCCAAGGTTAACAAAGGAAAAGAACTGCAAGCCTGGCTGGAAATTTTGCCTTCACGTCACCCTCATGCCAAGGAATGATTTAGAAAGGCCACAAGGGATATTTTTTGCAGGAGTGGTCACTCTCTGAATCCAGGCAAGGAAGGGGAGGAGTCTGAGCCGTGTCCCGCCCCTTCTCCGGTGAACTTCTGTCGTTCCAGCTTTGGCGGCAGTAGCGGCTGCACACCCGAGCTTTCCCCATGGTTTCGGTGACCAGATCCGTGTTTGGAGACCTGCCCTTGGGGGCAGGGACAGTGGAGAAGTTCCAGCTGGAGTCAGACCTACTGAGAGTGGATATCATCTCCTGGGGCTGCACCATCACGGCCCTGGAGGTCAAAGACAGGCAGGGCAGAGCCTCAGATGTGGTGCTCGGCTTTGCCGAGTTGGAAGGTGGGTTGAACTCGGCCCCGGGCTGTGGGCGAGCCCCGGGTCCGCCCCGCACACGCCCCCCATCCGGCGGCTCCCGGTGCTGGGACCGAGGGGGAGTACGAGGTAGTGACCAGCAGTGCTTGGATCCGGCTAATTCTGTGTTGCGATCCAGTGCTTGGAAAAAGACAAAATGCATGGAAACAGCTATAGGACTTGGCCTCTGGTTACCCATTCAGGCTTTGCCTCAATTAATTTAAAAAGTCACTTGAGGGTAAGATAGAACTCCAGCAACCCTGGAGCGATATTTGAACTGCCTGAACTTTGCCAGGCTGGAGAGAGAAAAACAGGCTAGAGGGGGTGTGGCTCCCAGCTCTTCCCTCGTGCACTTTCTGAAGAAGGAAAATCAAAGACGTGCATCTTCTTCCTTTTTCCTTGATCAGCTTCTTTTTGAGGTCTAGTCGTCTCAGAAATGCTCCATAACATAAGCTCAGCGGGTGTAGACTGCTTATCCCCTTTGGTCTGTGGGGTAGAGTGCCCTGCACCCCTTGGCTGCTCAGTAACCATGTGCTGCATAGAAAGCAGAAGACCAACCTATTGTCACAAGTGAGGACTCCTTCTACCTAGGGTGGGCTTCTATTCTGTTGGAGTCTATGGGCAATTACGATCATAAATTCATGCATTCAAAACCTGTTAATTCAATTATCTCCCTCAGTGAGCTAGACAAGGTCCCCACCCTCATGGAGCTTGCAGTTTAGCAGGGGAGATAGATGTTAGCCAAATAATTGCATAAATAAGTAATTACAATTGCAGTTTGATTGCAGCAAATGAAAATGTACATAGCTATCTCTTGGCACTACGGTGTAGCTAAACAGAAAATGATGTCTGAAATAAAGTTGGCAAAGGGAACCTGCTTGAGAATCTATACCCTCTGCTCAGTGGTAGGGGCATAGACAAAATCTGCTAGAGGGGAGGTTTGAGGTTTTCCTTTAGGTGTATCTTTCTGTTTGGTTCTTTAGATATGTATCATGGCTCATGGTTGGAAGTCAACAGAAAACTCTGAGAGTATCAGTTTTCCCTTAGGAGACTGAACTTTGCTCCCCATTTCCTTATCAAAATGTATTAGTATAAGAATATCCCTGAGGAGCCTATTCCTTGCCCTCTGGTTGTCTTTATCTGCCTTGGAGCCTCCACAGCTTGGCTTGGAGAAGTGGGTAATCTTCAGCAGAATTTCTTTGGTAACTTAAGCGAGTCTATTATAGAAGATTCACTGGTAGGAAGGTTCAGGGATGTGGGGAAAATCAGCTCCATTTCCCCTTCCTCTCCATGTCCCTCCAAACTTCTGGGGGTGGGGTTCATATCTTCTGTCTTCAAAGTCAGAAGGCAAGGCAGTTGACAAGTGACAGAAGAGAATCCTTTAGAATAATTTTGCTGAGTCACCTCTCTCTGTTAGTAGCATAACCATTTTCTAGGCTGAAACAGAATCACAAAGAAATTACTTCACTGGTGCAAAATTGCCCAATTATGGCCTAGAATTCCAGAGCCAGTAAGAAACATTGGAGATGATACGCTGTGAGCACCTGCTTTAATCACCTTATTTCCATCTCTGCCTTATCACCATTCAGGAGATAACTGCCATCCCCCTACACACACACACACACACACACACACTCATTCACTTCTTATTATTTTTGGTTCTGATATAAGAGTCACATGGATCTAAAGCACAAGTCGTCTTTGTGTAATTCATATGAAATGTGTGACGTGGCACCTGGGAAGCACCAGTTTCTTAATAGGCATAGAAGTGCCAATTTTGTGAGGGCATTAATACAGTCGTCTTTATGAGTCTATGACTTGTGGAAATCTGAGTGAAAGAAAGTATTATCCCCAAATGTTCTTAAAAGGGAGAAAATAAAATAGATCCCCTCAGATTACAATGATCGAGCTTGTATTGTATTGCCTCTGTGTTGTTAACATCTCTTGAGAAGGTTAAATAGCATTTTTTTTACCAGGGTGCATCACAGGTTTCACAAAATGCCAGGTCGAATCAAAGCATCTAAAATATTCCAGGTGCTGGATCAAGATAGACATTTTCATTACTATGCTAATTTAGATAATGTAATTATTTATTTTAAAAGAAAAGCAAGCTATTTTCAAAAGAGAAGTTGGAAAAAGCCCTCAGAATATCAAGTAATGCTTTCTAATGTGTTCAGCAATCTTTGAGGTTATTGCAAGTAGCCCCTTGTTCCCTTTTTAAGACCCTGTCTTTCAGTTTTTTGTAGATTTCTTTATTGCCAAAAATACAGAAGATGTCATATATGTCATAACAGGAAGCATAATTGTCTCAATCAGGATAGTGTGAAATGGCGCTCTGCTGCTATTTTGTTTCATTCTGGTGTATTAAAACCCATGTTAGGGCCAGCCCTGTGGCTTAGCGGTTAAGTGTGCATGCTCCGCTACTGGCAGCCAGAGTTTGGATCCCGGGTGCGCACCGACACACGGCTTCTCCGGCCATGCTGAGGCCGCGTCCCACATACAGCAACTAGAAGGATGTGCAACTATGACATACAACTATCTACTGGGGCTTTGGGGAAAAAAAAAAAGGAGGAGGATTGGCAATAGATGTTAGCTCAGAGGCAGTCTTCCTCAGCAAAAAAAAAAAAAAAGAGGAGGATTAGCATGGATGTTAGTTCAGGGCTGATCTTCCTCACACACACACAAAAAACCCATGTTAAGTAATTGACAACTGGGGTTGTCTTCAAGAAAGGACTTTAAGCAGCTGGGGTACAGGGATACAAAGGAGACAATTTTCACAGTATAGTCTTTTGGAATGTCTGAGTATGTGAGTATTATATAAACAAACAGGCAAATAATTTAAAGCAATAAGATGTGGCAGAGTAAGGGGTTAACTTGATATTACCATGTCCCAAAAATGTTTTGAGCCACAGGGAAGAGCTAAGCGTGGATAATTCCATGAGACGTGGTCCTTGTTGTAACTGCCAGGTTAGATGTGAACTATCTCCAGTTTCCCAGAGAGATTATATAAACTGCTTGGATCATGGCCATGGCCAGAGGTCAGAATGGTTCAATTTCTCCCTGGGAAAATGAGATCTTTCTTCTGTAGAATTCTAAGAGGTAAATCACACCATCTTTTAGTTATAGGCTAGAAAAATCAGTAATGCCTCCTGTGAGTTTTTCTGCCATTTTTTGTATTTAAAGTATTTTTAAATGTTTTTCGTCTGCATGTCCCATCTGTAGTTATTGTGACTTCTTTCAAAACCGTGATAAGAATATTTGCTTATAAGCCACAGGTATGAACAGTCTACCCATACAATCAATGTGACTCCTTCCCCTTCATCTTCCCCCCAGTTACCACCAACACCCAGCTATTACTGCCATGAGAGCCATTATGGAAAAAATAGAAAAAATAAACTTAGTGCTTTTAGAAAAGCTGAGTCCATAAGAAGAGTGGAGGCTCTACAGTTCAGAACTGTAGTTTAATATTACAGATACCCTAGTGCCCTTGTAGGAGCATTGAGGATTCCAGGTTTAAATCTCTGCTTCGTCCCTTAAAGCTGTGTGTCCTTGGGCAAGTTATTTAACCTCTGCAGACCTATTTCCTCACTTGAAACAAAGGATAATGATGATTAAATGTGCTATCAGCTGTGATAGCGTCTGACTGTAGTGAACAATTAATAATTTTTATCTCCTTTTCTTCCTTTGCCTCCAAATATCTTCGCTCACACTGCTTGAAACTTTTTATTTCACTTTGTTAACACTGCAAAAAATGGCATGGAGAGTCATCTGGGACAACCAGCAGCCATTTAAAAATATATAAAATATTTGGGATGCTTAAAGTGCTTATCAATTAAAGTAATGTTTGTATTCCTCAGAAAGGCAAAGGAAAGCCATTCAGGGTATGGAGGTTTTGACTGAGAATAGTGAGCAATTTTATTTGAGACTTTATGGCACTCTGGCTAAGGTTTGGGCTGTGCAAGGTGGATGTCATAGCTGGGATCCTTGGGATGTTAGAGGAGTGGAAAGGACCATACCCCATGGTTAAACATTTATTAATATATTCTGGCTAGTGCCTTCCCCAGAAAAAGGGACAAACTTTTCCTCTACACTTGATCTCAAATCAGCAATTGATTAGATTGATTAAATCAGCCTTCATGGCTTGACCCGGAAACTTTGCCCTTTTTCCTGGAAAACAATATTTTCTGCATTTCAAAGCAAGCTTTTCGGTCATGTCCTATTCAGAATTTGGGGACTGTCACTTTTTGTAATTCTGATTTGGTATAAAAGCTTATTAGTAACATATGAGGACAGTATAAGATCCATTTGTTCTGAAGAGTTTTTCAGAGACAGTTAGGGGCAGTGGTTTCTGCTGTCCTTATGGTTTAATCTTAAAAACTCTTCTTCTAAACTAAGGACCAACAAGTGCTTCTTATCTCTGTGGGCTTATTAGCCATTGCCAGAAAGTGGTCCCTTCTGAGGGAATTCTTGCAAACCCGTGAGGCGGCAGCCTTGCTGTTGGATTTGTCGTTGTCTCTAACGCCAAGCATGTGGCTGGAAGAGAGTAGGGACTTGGTGTACACTTGAATGAATCAAGGTAGGAGTCAAAAATAGATACAGCCAAACAATTTTTGAACAAAAATTCTACTTTTCTTCACATTTTTGAGATCCTGAAAAGCAGATGAATACTCCACATTATATCATCAGGGAAATGCAAATTAAAACAACAAGACCTATTAGAATCTTCAAAATCCAGAACACTGACAACACCAAATGCTGGTGAGGATGTGGAGCAACAGGAACTCTCATTCACTGCTGGTGGGAATGCAAAATGGTACTGCCACGTTGGGAGACAGTTTGGTAGTTTCTTACAAAACTAAACACTCTAACCATATGATCCAGTAGTCACACTCCTTGCTACTTACTCAAAGGAGTTAAAAATTTATGTCCACATAAAAAGCTGCACATGGATGTTTATAGCAGCTTTATTCATAATTGCCACAACTTGGAAGCAACCAAGGTGTCCTTCAGTAGGGGAATGGATAATCAACTGTGATATATCCAGACAATGGAATATTATGCAGTGCTAAAAAGAAACGAGCTATCAGGCTACGAAAAGATAAGGAGGAAACAAAGAGATATTACTCAGGGAAAGAAGCTCATCTGAAAAGGCTACATACTGTATGATTTCAACTATATGACATTCTGAAAAAAAGGCAAATCTATGGAGACAGTAAAAAGATCAGTGATTACCAGGGGCTAGGAGGATGGGAGGGATGAATAGGCAGAGCACAGAAGATTTTTAGGGCAGTGAAAATACTCTGTGTGATATTATAATGGTGAATACATGTCATTATACATTTGTCCAAACCCATAGAATGTACAACACCAAGAGTGAACCCTAATGTAAACTATGAACTGTGGGTGATCATGATGTATCAATGTAGGCTCATCAATTATAATAAAAGTTCCTCTCTGGTGGGGAGTGTTGATAATGGGAGAGGCTGTGCATGTGTGGGAGCAAGGGGTATATGGGAAATCTCTGTACCTTCTGCTCAATTTTGCTGTGAACCTAAACTGCTCTAAAAAATAAAGTCAAAACAAAAACAAAAGCAGGGCAGCCCCAGTAGCCTAGTGGTTAAGTTCAGCACGCTCCATTTTTCCTTCAAAAGCAATACAGTAGATGGGTATGTAGTCACGTGGAAAGATTTTAAGACATTTGATAAATGGAAAGTTGCAAACAAATGTGTATAGTACAATTCTCTTTATATAGAATACGTATGTGTTTGTGTATTTGTATATGTGCTTGTATGAAGTTAGTTTTCTAAAAAGACAACTGAAAGGGTAGATGCCAAGCTGTTAGCAGTGGTTATCCCTGGGAAGGAGAGGAGTTGAGAGGTGAAGGAGGGCTTTTATGTTTTACTTTTTATTAAGGGTGTCAGATTTAGCAAAATCAAAATACAGGACACCCAGTTAAATTTGAATTTCAGATAAACAAATGCTTTTTAAGTATAAGTTATATCCGATACTTATATACTAAAAAATTATTCATTGCTTATCTGAAATTCAGATTTAACTGGGCATCCTGTATTCCATCGGGCAAGCCTACTCTATATACTTGTGTATTATTTAATGCTCTCTAAAGGCTATTTTCATGTACTAATTGTGTGATTCAAAAAAATAATAAAAAGAGAAGAATAAGATAGTTTCCTCTCAAGACTATACAAAATATAATTTTTAGATAAGAAAATTGATTGGCCTTAAAAAAGCAGATTACAAAGCAGCATGTATACTAAGATCCCAGTCCTCTAAAAAGAGGAAGAGGGCCGGCCCGGTGGCGCAAGCGGTTAAGTGCACGCGCTCCGCTGCAGTGGCCCGGGGTTCACCGGTTTGGATCCCGGACGTGCACTGATGCACTGCTTGGCAAGGACTGCTGTGGCGGCGTCCCATATAAAGTGGAGGAAGATGGGCACGGATGTTAGCCTAGGGTCAGTCTTCCTCACCAAAAAAAAAGAGGAGGATTGGCAGATGTTAGCACAAGGCTGATCTCCTCACAAAAAAAATAAATAAAAAGAAGAAGAAAAGCACACATATGCATATACTGCAAGACAGAAGGATATACAAAAGAATATTAACAGTGGTTCTTTCTAGTGATGAGATTAGGATGAGTTAAATTTCTTAGTTGTGCTTTATAAAGTTCTTTAAAAATGTTTATAAAGAACATGAATTACTTTTGGAAAAGGAAAAGGTCATGTGTAAATAACACCATTTGTCTGTGCTTCCATGAGGACTTGGATATGTGCACATTGTTACCACTTACAGCTTCCCTAAGAAGAAAGTGGTGGGCAGCAGTGTGAGCCTCGACACCTTTGGTTTGAAGTTTTAAAAAATGCTGTCATCCCATGTCCTTATAGGGTACTTCCAAAAGCAGCCCTACTTTGGAGCAGTGGTTGGCAGGGTGGCCAACCGAATTGCCAAAGGAACATTCACGTTGGACGGGAAGGAGTATAAGCTGCCCATTAACAACGGGCCCAACAGTCTACATGGAGGAATCAGAGGCTTTGATAAGGTGAGTCGGGGGCACTGGACAGAGTCCTCACCTGGCACACTTCACAAAGTACCTTCAAGTATACTTTTCTGTTTGCCATGCACAATCCTGGGCCTGAGAGCAAATGCATGGTAAGGTGATACAAGAAACAGGCTGTCCCATGGTTCAGGGGAGCAGATGCACTGGACCTGTTCCAGGACCCCAGCCTTCCTTAGCTCATCTGACTGTAATAGGCAGGGGAGCCCCGAGTGAAAGGATGACAGCTCTTGACTTAGGAAAGACAGATAACTTTCTCACAGTGTTGGGATCAGGGATTAGGGTTGACCTTAGGCACAACAGAAAAGTGGGTTAAAAATAATACCTACCACTTACCACACAAGGTGTTTGCATATATCGTCTCTCACCCTTACTAGAACCTGTATTGTCACCAAATGAGAAATCTGAGGCTCTGCAAGGTCACACAACTCCCAAGTCGGGCTGCCTGACCCAAAGTCCTCATTCCTACACTACAGCTGCTGGTGTCCTCCACGGCCTCTGTGGGTGCCCTCAATCCAACACACCTTCCTGTATCTGTTAAGGCCCCTCCCCATGCAGTGTGGTCCCACGTCCAAACCTCCCCTTCCACTGAAGTGTCTCATGCCTCAAAATTACCTCAGATTCCCTTTCCACATTAAAACTCCCATTCCCCAAGTGAATCTCTAGAAAAACAAGGTTAGGAAAGAAAATTGGTCAAACAGCTTCTCTGTGAGGTAGGAATGACTGACCTCCTGCTTCCTCGCTGTGTGGGAGTCTGTAGGTTAACCCCTGGTGACTCTCTTACTAGTCTAATTTCAGGGAGATAATTTTGGTTGTTAACCTTCTTTTAAATTATACCCCTCAGGTTATTTCCTAGAGAAGAGCCAGAGAAAACAGGAACATGTATGGCAGTTAAGCATCACAATTTCTTCTTTTCTGTCTCTTACTACCACCTGTGCTGTTGAAGGAAGTTGGTCACTCTCGGTTTCTTCTTGTCCCACCAGCTTCCTGTCTATGGCCTAGAATCAGACTGCCCCATCAGTTCCCCTTTCCTCCATGATGGACCTCTCACGCCAGGGAGGCGTGAAGGCAGAGGGTAGCCTCTGTCTTGGCAATATTAGGGCAGAGGGTCTTGAATATCCCAGGTCATGACAAATCATGCCCAGCTCTGTTTGAACAGAGATCTTCAGAGGAGCCTCAGAACAGCACTTTGTTCTAGCTTGCTCCTCTATTCCACTATGGTATTTTCTGTGGTGTTGCTTAACACGTATGCCCTGTATGAACATAGCAAGATAGTATACATATCCTTCAATGCAATGTGCCTACTGAGCCCTTTCTGTGAACAGGGAGCATAATAAGGTGGAGATTCCTGAGACTCCAGTATAGTAAGGGAGCTGGACCCTTACATAAATAACAGTTATAGGCAACAAGTCCCATAATATAGATGCCAGTGGTGTGCTATAGGAGCTGGGGAGGTGGGATTTGAACTGCCCTTGAAGATAGGATAGGATTTCATTCAATAAATGGATATTGTGGGCCGGTCCCGTGGCTTAGCAGTTAAGTGCGCGCGCTCTGCCACTGGCGGCCGGGGGTTCGGATCCTGGGTGCGCACCGACGCACCACTTCTCCGGCCATGCTGAGGCCGCATCCCACATACAGCAACTAGAAGGATGTGCAACTATGACATACAACTATCTACTGGGGCGTTGGGGGAAAAAAAAAAGGAGGAGGATTGGCAATAGATGTTAGCTCAGAGCCAGTCTTCCTCAGCAAAAAGAGGAGGATTAGCATGGATGTTAGCTCAGGGCTGATCTTCCTCAAAAAAAAAAAAAAAAAAAAAAGAAAGGAGAAGGCCTAGTAGCTACAGAGCCTGAAAGGGGTGTTGATTGAACGACAACATTCTCAACATTCTCACATAACAAGAGGAGAAATGGCCCAGGAAAATATTAAGAGAGCTGACAGGAGCAGGGACCTGAACTCTGAGGAACTCAGTACCAATGGGATCAGCCATTTCCTGGAATGCAAGGATCAGGACAGAGAAAAAAATAAATAAATAAATAAATAAATGGATATTGAAGAGAATGGCTGTGCAACTGCCCAGAAAGGGGTGGGGAAAGACTTGGAATGTTCTCATAGAGGCATTGAAAATTTTTGAACAGTAGGTGTTTATATAGTAACGTGAGCAGTATCAGATGAACTTTAAGTTATTATTTTTTTATTTATTTTTTTGTGAGGAGATCAGCCCTGTGCTAACATCTGCCAATCCTCCTCTTTTTGCTGAGGAAGACTGGCCCTGGGCTAACATCCATGCCCATCTTCCTCCTCTTTATATGGGACGCCGCCACAGCATTCCTTGCCAAGCAGTGCGTCGGTGCACGCCTGGGATCCGAACCGGGGAACCCCCGGGCCACCGCAGCAGAGCGTGCGCACTTAACCGCTTGTGCCACCGGGCGAGCCCCTGTTTTAAGTTATTTTTGATCTCAACAATTATTGAATAATCGTTGGTTTGGATATATATGTTTTTCTATTATATCGACACATTTTCTTAAAAGATGAAATTTGAATAACTTGACAGGATTAGAAATGGTATAAGTAGGCCTAGAGATGCAAATTTGGACATTTTCAGGAAATTTGAAAACTACAGGGTCAAGGAAATCCTCCCATGAATAGGAATTATACTTTCCACAGAATTATACTTATCTGATAATATTGGTTTACACAAAAATCTTTCCATTGTGTTCTTTCTCTAAAGGGGAAAAACTAGGTAGCAAGTGAAGAACATCTTATTTCAAATATTTTGTTCCTAAAATTTTTCATTTGGGGGATTCTTTTTTCTTTTTTCAATCACACATATCATACATAGGCTTTGTATTTTAAGTGTCTTGAAAGTTCAACATTTCTCGTAGATAATTAGGGTGTAAAATTAATTTTTTACTAATGTCAGTGAATTTGTTTTAAATACCAACTGCTTTCACCGTAGGTGAAGGCAGAGACATCCTTTCTTGCTGGGCTCCCCTTCCTGGCAAACGCAACATCAGTGAGAGAGATCCAGGTCATGTGAGGAGTGGGTGGGCAGAGCCTAGGCTCATAGGCCATTCCTGTGGCCCACAGAAGTTATTATCTTTCATTTCTATTTGGAATGACAGTGTTTGGCCTCAACTCTTCCGATGAAAATGGAGATGTGAATAAAACATTCACTGAAACTAAAATGTGGAATAGGGTAGACTGCCGGGCCTGAGTTTGAATCCTAGCTCTGTCACTAATTACATGTATGACTTTAAACAAGATTTTTTTCCCCTTTAAGTAATGGACATGAAGTATGAAAGGATTCTACTCCACTCCCCTGGAATGTGGGAGGTGGAAGTGGGCAAGTTAACTCCGCTGAACTCAATTTGCTCATTAAAATAGGGGTTATAATATTAGTTGGAGCCATATGAAATTGCCAGTGTTCAACTGTTTTGGCCTTTTACAAAGATGATAATTTTATTTGGTTCAACCAAATCCTTACCATACAGAATGATTTATGTAAAGCACCAGGTCAATGGCTGGTGAGCACTCAACAAATGGAAGTTTCATGTCTGCAAAAGGCCCCTTCACTAGTGACCCCAGGGCTCCCTAAGGGGACTGGAGATCTCTGGTCACCTCGTCCTCTGATAGTGTAGAATAAGGGAACAGGCTCAGGATCAGACCGCTTGATTCACATCTACTGTCTTACTAGCTATATGGCCTGGGACAAGTGGTTTATTGTTTCTGAGCCTCAGCTCTCTCATCTTTATTCATTTTTGTTTTTTTAAGTTTTTTTTTTGTGTGTGAGGAAGATCAGCCCTGAGCTAACATCTGCCAATCCTCCTCTTTTTGCTGAGGAAGACTGGCCCTGGGCTAACATCCGTGCCCGTCTTCCTCCACTTTTTATGGGACGCCGCCACAACGTGACTTGACAAGTGGTGTGCGCCCGGGATTGGAACCGGCGAACCCCTGGCCACGGCAGCAGAGCGCGCGCACTTAACCCCTTGCGCCACCAGGCCGGCCCCTCTCTCATCTTTAAACAAGGATAATGGTACCTACTTTAAGTCAGCTCTGAGACAGATAAGATAGTGTCTGTGAAGTTTCTAGCAAAGTGTTTTGGCTCATAATGAGCACTCAATAAATGTTGGTTTTCCCTTCCCCAAAAGTGTAATCTTGAGGCCTCTAGGGCAAAGTTGAGAGGAACCACTGTGTTAATCCAAGATTCTTATTTCTGCTTCGAAAAGCAAAAAACTCTTGTAGGAAACTTTTATTCATATTTTTCTTGCCACTCTTAGAATCATATTTTCTAGAACAAGAAGAAACCTTTGAGATCATTTTTCAACCCCTTTATCTTATGGAAGGGATCGATGCTCAAAGTCACACAGTGAGCTAAGAACAAACCTGGCCCCCAAATCAGACCCCTGACTGTGTGCTAGAACTCTTCCTAGTGGGACAAGTGCCTTCTTGTTTGTTTGGAACTCTGCCCAGGGAACATAGAGAATTTCGGAGTGTTTTTTATAAATATTTGTAAATAGTACCTCCTGGAGGGAGGGGCTGATTTATTAAGGTTGTTTTTTAATACTATTAGCAGATATGCTATGTGACCTTTATCAGAATGGGACACTGACATTAAAAAAAAACACCAAAGAAGGGGAAGAAGAAAATATTGTAGACACATACATATAAATTTAGGGAGACAGAGTATGGGGAATGTGAGGAGGTAAAGAGTAAAAATTTTTTTTCTCTCAAAGCCACTTTTCTGTATAAAACAACATTTTAGAATAATTAAAATCCAAGCTATTATTCGAACAATTTAATGATTGTATAATCATCTCTCTTTCTGGAATAAGTTGTCTTTAAATATTGAAATGTGGCATTTAGCTTGGGATTGGAGTGACTAAACAGCTTTGAAAATGCTTTCTTCTAGGTCCTCTGGACCCCCCAGGTGCTGTCAAATGGCGTCCAGTTCTCTCGGGTCAGTGCAGATGGTGAGGAAGGTTACCCTGGAGAGTTAAAAGTCTGGGTGACATACACGCTGGATGGCGGGGAGCTTGTGGTCAACTATCGAGCCCAGGCCAGTCAGACCACACCAGTCAATCTGACCAACCATTCTTATTTCAATCTGGCAGGCCAGGTAAGCGAATTTGCCTCTGCTCTCCTGCAGTGTGCTTTGTGGAATGACCTGGGGGCATACTGGAGAGACCAACCCAGTAGGGAGTAACCCTGGCAGTGGGGGCACTCCCGTGATGAGGAAAAGTGCCCAGCAAAGCATCCGGCTCATAGTAGGTACTCGATAAATGGAAGTTATAGAGAAAGATAGAATGACTACTTTGTACTGCCAAGAGAATTATCTGTTTCCCATATGTTCAGACAAGAAACTAGCTATTTCAAGAACTCCCTCTCATCTGTTACATGTGCTTACATTTGCTTCCCCTATTCCACTCTTACCCCCAAAAAATTACTTCCAGTTAAGGCAGTTTCCACCCTTGGATCTTTGGAAATGTGCTTGGCGAGCCCCTTTAGATATGCTCCCACTGTGCAGCCCACCCTAAGAGTGGTGTAGAGACACTGACAACCCCCTTTAGGAAATCCCCCCCTAAACTACCTCATTCCCTCCTAATGGTAATGTTTTGGCTTGTTGAGGAGGCTATTATATGAGACAGAATAAAAAGCTTAGCTAAATTCTGCAGATTATATCTATTACTTCCTCCTCTTCTGAAGAACTCATCATCGATGTTGAATCACTTTGGCATGATTTCCTACCACAAGATGATGTTCACAGCCAGCTAGTAATATCTTGCATTTTTACACTCTTTTAGGAGTTTGCTGATGATCTGCTGATTTTTTCCAGGATCTTTTTAAATAGCATGAGTTAATTGGTTCTTATATAATTTCCAAAGTTCTCCCTTTAAAAATAAGAAAGATGGCTCTTCACTTGCTTGTTCCTTATCTTCAGGAACTTCCACCATCCTTCTTGAGATCTTCAAGACAAACCAAAAACCAAAAACAAAACAAACATGCCCAGCTATAAGAGGCTTTGCGATAATGTACATAAAGACCTTACTTTTTTTTTTTTTTTGGCAAGGAAGACCAGCCCTGAGCTAACATCTGTGGCCAATCCTCCTCTTTTTGCTGAGGAAGATTGGCCCTGGGCTAACATCTGTGCCCATCTTCCTCTATTTTTATGTGGGATGCCTGCCACAGCATGGTTCAATGAGCGGTACGCAGGTCCGTGCCAGGGATCCGAACCTGCGACCTCCAGGCCGCCAAAGCGGAGCGTGAGAACTTAACCACTACGCCACCAAAGACCTTACTTTTTAAAATAAGTTCAGAAAGAAACTTGACAGAAATAGGACAAAATATTAATGGTTTTATGTAAGCAGTAGATCATGGTGATTTTTTCACTATTTTCCACATTTTTGTATACCTAAGACATCCTATTTTATAACCAGGGCGATGGTCTAAAGGAATAGACTCAAAAATAGAGAAATTATATGTGAAGTATTCTATCTGCCATTGTGTTCCAATACAACAGACAAAATGGGAATGTAAGCTTCACTAAGACTCTTTCCATTGACCTGGGAGGGGACCCTCCCAACTAGAATTTTCTACCCTTCCAATTCTTCAAGGACTTGGAGTGACAGATATTTCTGAATCTCTTTTCAGAGGCTGAGTAGTTTCCCACATCACAGACCCCACCCAGAAGGGTGGCCAATGTCAACTCCCTTCTGTATGGTGTCTTAGTAAGTGCAGCTTGAATCCACAGCCACTAGCTTCAGGGTTGAGGGTGGACGGGGGCCACCAGCCTTTTGGGGCACTCAAGTAAGAGTGGATGGTCAGTCACCAGGCCTGAGTCAAGGGGTCTCTGCGTTTTCAGAACATCTCTTTCCCTACCTAGAAAAGCATTGCCATGTATCTTAAACCCTCCTGAGGGAAATAGCTCAAGACTTGATATTTAAAATAGTCAGCTTGTCTTATATCTTTTATTTTTTTGTTTGTTTGTTTTTTAAATTTAATAAGCAGTATTTCTGTTCTACTTGGGGCCAGACTTTGACTCATCCCTTCTAAGTTTGAGTGTTGGAGGCCTGGGGGGAGGAGAGAACTGTGTTTTTCAAAGAGTGGAAAAGGTATGTAGGTTGCAGGTTGGTTGGGGGTTTTTATGGCTGTTCCTTCCTTATCTAACACAAAACTGGAAGAGTATGTTTTTTCATTGAAACTTTACCTAAAAAGCAAAGAAAGCAGGCCAGGGGGAATTTAAGATGTGGTTTTGGTATGTCTGGTACGTGGGTAGGTATGTCGTCAATGACCCAGGTTCTTCCTTCTTTCCATTCTGCTTCTTCAATGTTTTGTTTTCAGGCTTGTCCCCTCATGGTCGCAAGATGGTTGCCACAGCTCCAGGAATCACCTCTTCATATAGTCACAGCCAGAAACAAAATAGGACCTATCCCTTTTTTCACATCTCTAATGTTCCATTTTTAAGAACAAGCAAAACTTTTCCCAGAAGCTCCCCCAGCAGACTTTCCCTCACATTTCATTGGCCGAAAGTGTCTTATGCCCTGCTTAACTCAATCACCAGCAAGGGAATTAGACCAGCATGATTAGCTTGGACCAATCAAAATTTGCCCTCTGGGGCGAGGGAGGGGGTCCTTTCCCTGAATATACAGCCTTGGGATAAATCAACAAGTCAGTGTTCTGCCAGAGGAAAGGGAGGGCACTGATAAAGGAGTTGATATGGCTTTTGAGTAGTAACCAATAGTATCTGTTATATCCTGCTAGAGGTGATAAGAGCTGAATTAAGGCAGTGCTAGTGGCAATGTACAAAAAGGTCTTTAAGGCCCCATGCAAGCCACAACAACAGCAGCCAAACAAAGTTAACCAAAACAAACACTGAACTCAGAGATGGGCCTCCAATCCTGTTTGTGAATCAGCATTTCTTGCCAAGTTTTCATCAGCCTAGAAAGGAAATGAATCCAACAGTAATAGTCCACCAGAGTAGATCATTGCATTATTCCAGGTCAGAAGAGTCCTAAAATGGAGCCTGCTTCCCTTTAATGAAGGAATATTCGTGCTGCTTAGTGACCCTCCGGCCATTGAGAGAGTGGGTGCCTAAGAAATGTTCCTCTCCTTCTCCTCCCAGGCTTCTTCCAACGTCTCAGACTTAGCTTATTTGGAGTGTGATTTTCACATGGAATCATTTTCTTCCCGCCCTAGTGCTGAAAAAACAAACAGAAAAAGGAAATTCCTAAGCAGCTTTATTCATAATAGTAAAAAACTGGGAACACCCCAAAAGCCCATCAACGGAGAACGGATAAACAGTCTATGATATAGTCATATGATGGAATACTACTTAACCTTAGACTGAGCATTGAACAGATAGAGCCAAGGAAACAGTCACAAATTCTCTTCCCTCCTCTCTGCACCCCTTAGTCCCAGAGGCCTCTACCGTGAGGTGTGAGAGGATAGCAGTAGGGAGAGCCCACAGGAGAGAGACCCCTCTAGTCTAAGCTGCTCTAGGCAGGGCTGCAGGCCCCTCCGACTTTGGACCTGCCTTCCCAGGTCAGAACAGGGAGCAAATAAGTGGCTAAGATAGAGACTGTGGGCCAAGGAGATGCCTCTGCCCCAACCTTGTCTCTCACCCATTCCTACCCCTGCCCAGCAGGTACCTGCTGGGAGAATACAAGAGAATCATAGTTCTTCAGAAACAGAGCCTCCTAGAAGTGTATTAAACTAATTTCTGTCATGTTTAGACATAGATTTCATGGTGTCTAAAATCTTGGCCTTTCTCCTCAGGATGACTCCATTTGATTGTGTGGGCCTGAGTCTTTCTGACTGTAGAATCTGTTTCCACTTACCCCGTAGTGCTCACCTCTCTCTGCTTACTTCTCAGGAACCCTGCAGAGCCTTCAATTTAGCTTAGCTCAGGGTTTCTCAACCTCTGCACTATTGACATGTGGGGCCAGACAAGTCCTTGTTGCGGGGGTGGGGAGACCGTCCTGTGCATTGGAGGGTGTTTAACAGAATCCCTGGCCTCCTCCCACTGCTGCTTCCCCCGTAGCATTACTACCCCTGTTCATGACAATCAAAAATGTCTCCAGACATTGTCAAATTCTGCCCCGTGAAGCAAAATCATCCTTAGTTGAGAGCCCCTGGTTTAGCTAATTGTTGAGCATTCACTAAACAAAAGCCCTCAACTGGTTCTCCTTCCACATCTTCTGCTGTGAAGCTTTAAAATATACTCCTATTAAAATATAATCCTTTCTATTGGAAACATTCAAGTGTATTTTCCACTTTGCAAGCAGCATAACACATCTTCACTAAACAGTTCTTCACAAGAACCCTGCAAAAGGGTTCTTGCAGGCATCATCAGCCCAATTTTATACCAAAGGAATGAGATTCTAGGAGGTTAAGTGACTTCCCCCAGGCCCTCACTGAGAGCCAGAACTAGACCCCAGGCCTCCTGGCCACTGACCAGTGCTTGTGTACCAGCCTTTGACTTCCCCAGGAGGGCAGGCTGCACCTTTATGGAGGAGGTGGGAAAACTCTCAAGAGCATGGACCCCAGTTCTGACTCCCAGGCTTCTGCCACATGGCAAGGAGTGGGTCCTCTGTGGGAGAGCTGGGCCGGAGAAGGGGTGACGTGCCCCACTTCTAATAAGCCTGGAGGCGATGCCTCGGCCATTCAGCACCTGGGTGATACAGGTCACTGACTGTTGTTCTGTTTGCCTGGCAAATGAAGGGAGTGGAAGAAACACCTCGACCAACGTACTGAAGTCCAAAAGGCTTTCAGGGCCGGCCCAGTGGCGCAAGCGGTTAAGCGCACGCGCTCCACTGCAGTGACCCGGGGTTCGCTTGTTCAGATCCCGGGCGCGCACCAACGCACTGCATGGCAAGCCATGCTGTGGCGGCGTCCCATATAAAGTGGAGGAAGATGGGCACGGATGTTAGCCCAGGGCCAGTCTTCCTCAGCAAAAAAAGAGGAG